GGCATTACGAGTGTCGTGTGATGGATTGCTTATAATCAGATAACCCACCTGCTCGTTTACCAACCTATGACATACAAAAAGAGAACAAATACTGAAGATAAAGAAAATAATATCATAGTATGTGATAAGTAAGTTCACAGAGCTGCTTCCATTCGATGGAGCCAATTACCATTCCCTGTGAAAAATGTATTTCAATTGAGATACTACAGTTGGTCACCAAAGCCAAAACTGTGTTTGGAAAATAGAATCATCCTCTTTGAAGAAAATCTCCTTCAAATGGAAGCGATAATACTTCAATCCAATAAATTCTCTTATATGAAACTTTACCTTCACAGTTTCAATCAAATCTTCGAGTCCAACGTAAAATCGAACAGATATAGGGTGATTCACTTTAGAACAGACTGAATTTGGTCTATCTATCACTTATCTAGACTTCACGGTCTATTACCTTTATGAGATGAGCTAAACTCAGCTTCAGAATCAATCCTTGATAGATACTGAACTGGTTTTAGTAGACTTCAGTATTGATTTAAGTGTGGGAGAGCCGTGCTTCGGAATTAATGGGCAGATTTAACTGGAGTGATACCAGGGCCTCACAGAATGCCAGCGTGAAACAATGCTTGCGTTATGTTTCGTTGTGTAAGTGAGATTATCGGAGGCCATTCTTATCATCCTTTCTTTCCCCAACATCAATCTCTAAGGCCTCGATCACCAAATCGCCTATCCTCAAATATGTGAAGGCGAAAAATGCACATTTTGCTCCTTCGGTGTTGCAGGCAATCATGAGATGCGCGCATTGTGTACCATTCTTCAAATCCAGTATTTTTTTTAGACATTGCCCGACACTAGGATTTTCTCCTGTGTCGTGGGTGCGTTTACAAACATACAATTCCACATGCACATCACACCCAGACTCGGGACAACAATCTGTGGATCACATAAGAGTTGTTCCGTTCGGGAATCGAACCCGCGACACGTTGCACGGCAGCCAGTTGCCCAGCCACCACGCCAACCGTGCAGTTTTGCTTCCACCTAGTCGTTAGCGTAATTTATTATAAGTATAAGTTATCGCTGAGCGTAATAAACGTGTCGATCGTCTTAACGTAAAACACACTAGCGCTAAGCACTTTGTAGTACATTTTTTCCTAAAATAGGTACGTACAGTGCCTAATTACGTAGATGGCGTTGACATATTTTTTCACAGGCCTCGTAACTCCAATAAAATTGTGCCGGCTAATTATTTTCTTTGATACAAAGTGAGTAGTTTTTTTGGAATAAATTTAGGATAAGGAATAATTAAAAGCTAGGTCAAGTGCCAAGAGTGTTTTTAATTTATTTCCCTTTTTCGAGGGATAAGCTTAAAATTACTTCTCTTGCCCATGGTTAGCAAGAGTGAGTATCAGACTCTTAAAGACTAAACCTACTCCCCGATCCTTTTCCTGCTCCAAGCTGAGGCTGCGGTACTTTATTGAGCTCAACCTGCGGTCCTGGCTAAAGATAGAAGGCTATCAGGCCCCATCTGTCGTGGTCAATTAGCTTTTTGAGGCGCGTACGCTACGCACCGTATATTCGGGTTTGGTTCCGGTCAGACGGCGACTTACCATTGCTCGCCAACCGCAGCCGTGCTTATGGTGGCCAGAGACCGTCGCTCGATCCCCGACGCCCAAGGTGCCTACACTCAGGCTCACTACATAATAGCGTTTAGACGCTGAGAGGAAATAAATAGAAGATTAATTTAATGGTCAGCAATGAGCACTACTCACAGATATATTCTACAATAAAAGAAATACAAGTAAGTATGATGTATTTAAAAAACTTGAACTTTGTGGGAGAGCCATGCTTTGGCACGAATGGGTCGGCTCGATCGGAGTGATACCACAGCCTCACAGAAGACCGGCGTGAAACAACAACAGCTTTGTGTTTCGCCGTGTGAGTGAGGTTACCGGAGGCCCAATCCTTCCCCGCCCCCAATCCCTCCACAATCCCTAAATCTCCAAATCCCTAATCCCTAAAAGGTCGGCGGCACAACGCACTCGTAACTCCTCCGTTGCGGGTGTCCATGGGCGGCGCTGATTGCTTACCATCAAGTACTCTGTCTGCTCGTTTGCCGACCAATTACATAACAAAAAGAAAAAAAAAATCAACCAAGCACTGAGAGCAAATTTTTAATCAAAGGCTTCTAACTTTGTATGTACTCGGTTGTATTTTGTATATTATGGCACGTTTCTTTCGTATAACAATTTTTTGCTAGTTAAAAGTCCTATCCTTTTATGTTGAGTCTCGATCATTGAGCCTCTATGTCGAGTTACGATGTTTTAACAGCGCACAGAACAAGCAGTGCCATGACCTGGCGTGCAAAAAAATATTTATTTGCAAAATCTAGATACAATTATTTTGTATTTAATAAAAATCATCATTATCCAAGGAAATATTTTCCCTTACTATACATCAACATCAACCAGCAAAAACATTACTTGTATAAAGTTATATTTCTTTACGGAGCCAAAACTTCTCGAGCTACCCTCATTAAACCTTTCGCTCACAAATTATAGACACCCATACACATGCAAAAAGTTTTCATATAAAAATTCTAGCATTTTTCCTTAGCTCAGCAAAAAAAGTAACAAAAAAAAAATACGTAACATTTTATTCCACAGAGTAAAAAGCCTATTAAAAGTTGGGAGGTTAATGTTGTGTTAGAATGGGGCAATTATCCCTCACAAATGAAGATACTTTTTTTAAAGTGGCAGTTTCGTTTTTAAAGAAGCCAGTGTAATTCAAGTCGCGAGCTGGTGTCCTTCAGGTGAGATTCATTACTAAAACGGTTAAAGTTTCTTGCAGAAAGACCATATTTCTTGGGTCAAGAAAAATAAACGTGTTTTGCTCTTTTACTGCGTCTTTTAGGTCCCAAGTTGTTCAATAATAGCTTCCTTGTAACTTGTTGGCGTTGCACGTTATCTTGGAAGTTTTAAGTTCATTATAACTCAGCTGCGACTGAAGGTTGGGTGTAGCCTTGAGTATATGACTGTTTTAACATGAAGTATGTTAACAGCTGCCTTAACAGTGTCACTGTAGGCCACAGATGGTTCAGTTTCACAGAAAGGGCTTCACTTTTTAAGAGAAGAGGTTTTTTCAGGGGTGGAAATTCTCAAATGTCGTCTCTCGCCCGAATTGGGGCTAGAGGGACTGGCAGAGTCTCACTGAATAAAAACCACCCTGTTCCTTCTCCTGCTTCAGCCTAGGCCGCGTTGACTTTTTGCGCTTGACCCGAAACCTTGAATGTTTTAGAATAGGCTATTTTTACATTTCGAAAGTTTTTTCGGTTTTCTAGAATAGGTAGTATTCTTCATTCCTTTGTCCATAGGCGAGTCACCAATAAGTTGCAAAAGAATGTTTCTTCTTTTTTTGTCACACTATCAAAATTTACATATCTATTAACAGAACAAGATAGTCTCTTGTAAAGCTTTTGAAATCGTCTAATAGAACAGGATAGTTCAACTTACTCGAGATAAGAGACACCTATTATAAACAATACCAGGTAACAAGCTCGCCTATTTACTCAAGCAGTACTGACCTATTTTCTCTAATACTTTTCTTTCTTTTCATACCATCTTTTCCTCTTAAAGTGCATTCGTGCTCTGATTCCTTTGTGTCGAGAATATTATTTCATTTGTTACTTTATGAGCATTGATGTAAGAATTTCTTTTAGGTGGATGTTTATTTAGCGTTGTACTAATATAAAAAGAAATATAAATAAAATTTTCGGGTTCTACATTTGTTGTTATTGAGAGGTTTGTTTATATTATTTAGTTGTTTTGGGAGAGCCATGATTCGGCACGAATGGGTCGGCTCGACCGGAGTGATACCACGGCCTCACAGAAAACCGGCGTGAAATAACCACAGCGTTGTGTTTCGCCGTGTAAGTGAGGTTACTGGAGGCCCAATCCTTCCCCTCCCCCAATCCCTCCTATATCCCTAAATTTCCAAATCCCTAATCCCTAGAAGGTCGGCGGCACAACGCACTCGTAACTCCTCCGTTGCGAGTGTCCATGGGCGGCGCTTACCATCAGGTACCTATTAAAGACCTATTAAATAAATAAAAAAAGGTTGTATTCCAAAGTTTGTTTACCTAACCACTTCTTTTTGTAAACAATGCGTTTAATTTTAGGCCATCACTATTATTATGATATTTACAGTTACTAAATACAGAAATAAAGATATACTATAACTAAACTGGGAACACTTCATTCCGTCAAAAAATTAGCTACAATTTAAAAACTATTTAAATTTAAATATTTAAAAATTACAGTTTTGTTGTCATAAACGAACTAAAGTTTTTATTTAATTATAACGTTTACTAATTCTATTAGGTATAGTTTACAATTTAAAAAGAACCTTGCGTATTATTTTTATGACCTATCTATCTAAGCCAAAGTTCATTCGTATCCATTCGGCAGTTATTACTCGAAAGAATAAATTAAATAAACATCCATATTTCTACATAATGTTTCTAGGTTAAATCTGTAAATATAAGCCTAAGTGAATCGACCTGCATTTAAAGTGATATGTTTGAGAGCTTGATAGAAATTTTATTTAAAATTCGAATATGCTTTAAGCTGTTAGAGTCTAACAGCTTAAAGCATATTCGAATTTAGACTTATGTTTCTTTGTTCCTTTTTCTATCAAGAAATAATCTTTTTGAAACCCCTCTCCAGTCACAGTAGATGACAACTTATATATTTACAAGAGGAGTTGATAGAATACAAATTTTCTGTAACAAATGAAGCTTTTTCCACGAAAACAACATCATTGTACCCGAGAATTCGCAACAGAAAAATGCAGTCTCTAAATCCATGTCCGTTAGTCAAGAGATTGACCTACATAAACCCGCCATCCTTCCTCTCGTCAAAGGCAACAATAAAATTAAAACAATCCCATTTTATTCAAGATGTTTTATTACTGAAATCAGAATAATTTACATTGTAAAAAATACACATACTCCAAGTTTTACGCTAAGGTTAACACTTTCAGCTTTTTGGCTCTATTTTACAGTTAAACTATAGCTTTTATTAACTAGATGTTTTGACAATTTTTTCTTTACTCATTAATACAGATCAATCCACACATCAATTGATTAACGATGTTCTATTTCGAAATGAAATTGAGCAAACAAAAATCGATCCTATTTATCTGGAGATAAATAAACAATTTATTTAATCGTGATTGTGTGTGAATCGATCTTCGAGAAATTTCGATTGGAAATCAAGTCTAACTTAGGTCTTTGGCATACAAAGCAAATTGCTAAAGAGTTTTCTATAATGAGATTTTTATAACACTAAATTTGGGTGTAACAAAAATTCTATTACAATTGGATTTTAATGAAAACGAAGCAGAGCGGACACTTGCATACAATATAAAAGAATAATGAGAAATGCTAACTCGTCTTTTAATAATCCTCTCTGCTTCTATGAACGGCACTATACAACATCTACCAAGCACTGTAATCCCAAATGTTTACAATAATTTAATTATATTCTCAAATGAAATTCATAGTTCCACAGAAGGCTTTGTGAATATCTATTTTATACTTATCTAAGTACAGACTTACTATAATACTTATTAGTAGATAAAAATAAATAAACTCCTCCCCTCTGAGCGCGGTACGAGAAGTCTCTTCATTTTTATTTCTCATTAAAAGTTTTTACACTTATTTGTATGAAAAATAAAAGCTGCATCTTTGGATATTTTTAACACTAAAATAATTGCTACACATTTTATTGAATTACTGTCACAAAGTTAAATACTTAAGTAAACGATATGTATATTTTTTTTCTATTATTAACTCCCAAAGTATTGTCAGGGATATACGAGTAGTAGAAATATTGAAAATGGATAAATTGTTAATAAATTAAAAATTGTACATTTTTTTATTATCATTATTTATATGTTTATTCTCATTAGTGTAAGACACGACATCGTTTTGTACTAGAGCAAAAATCTGTAATAATTAATTTTATAGATATTTTTTTGAAAATAATTTTGTTACAATATTATGGTTCTGAATAGATAGCATCGATCTAAATAAATTTGGAAGAATTTTTAGTTTGTATGTATTTTTTTTAATTGCAGAAGCATTTTTCCAATTATTTAATAAGTTACGATGTAACTGCATGCATGTGAATTGTTTTATCCTAAATCTTAGTCACTCTTAACAATAATTGACCAACAAACGAAATAAAAAGAAGCTCAATTAGGTACAGCGATAAAGAACCGAATACTATCTATTATTTTTCAATATTGACAGTCATCTCTTACTATTTTTATTTTATACAACAATTTTTTATTATATTTTTACACGCCACATCAATTTACATCGAAAATAAATTGAAATGCGAAACAAATGAATGGAATCGAAACAAAATTATATTTGGACGGACAGACACAGATGCTAAAATAATAAACAGTCATCATAAATAGATTAAAGGAAAGTTTTAATTAATTTGTTAGAATGTGGCCACTAATAAAGAATTGTGCCTTGTTAATGATATCGAAATTCATAATTCTGAGCCAAGTTTTGATCCAAAATAATATGATTGATAAACTCACACCATTTTTGTCAGAACGTTATAATGTAGAAAATACAGATCAAATATTTATCTCTTCAGTGGCACAAAATGATTTGCATCATCAACAAAACCAACTCCAAATACGATAAATAAAAAATAAAATAAAATTCGAAATACGAATTCGAATTTAGAATTACGTGAGATTCGTCCGCCAGTCTTCGTGTGGCTGTGGTGTCGAGCAGTTGGTAGCACACCATCTTGTTAGAGCGGTTGGGGGGCACGGTGCACCCCCTGGCCTTTGTCGTCTGATTATTCGGCGCGTGCGCACAGCTGAGCCTACACAACCACCATCACTGCGACATGGGCTCCATTCGCTCCATTCTGATACCCGGCAGTCTAACAGTCCTGTAGAAAATTATAGATAGTGAAGAAGGAATCATAACAGAAAAAGCGAATGTGGATATCGACGGGAGGATTAAATAATTCCAGAAAAGTTTTTTTATTTTTTATTTTTTCTTTTATAATCGTCTTCAATCCTACTAATAAATACTAAAGAACAAAATCCAAAGATAATATTTCTAATAGTCATAATTAATGTAGAAAACGTCGAGTGAAAAATATGAAAACATAAATTAACGGGGCAGTTCTAAGTGAGCTAAGTGAAAATAAATAAGAACTGAGACGCAATAATCTTCATATCCATTAACACAGTAAGAATATTTTATAAGAGACTAGTAATTCATGCCTCTTTGCGGATTATAAATGGGTATAAGTAGAAGTAAGCGACCTCTGCCGTCTCTCAGAAGTTAAATGATCTGTACACCAAAATATTCTGGGTATTTGGAAAAAAATATATGATATTAAGTCAATGAGACCCAGGATTAGGAAAGTCAATGACCTGAGATTAAGTAAGGTCGACTCAAGATGCTTACGTTTAATTCCGACCTTCCTAATTTCTTTCTCTTTTATATTTGTCTCAGAAGCTTTTACGTCGTCGTGAAAGTTGTTTAGCTTAATATTACTTAAGATAAAACAAATTATTTTGTCCAAACTCGAATAATTCAATATTATTATTCTATTAATTTTTGAAAGAAAAACAAACCAATAAAAAGGTGCGAGACTTCCTCCAGTCTAGCTAAAGAACTTTTACTGACTAGGTCTCCAAAATAAAATAAGTACAAAAATCTCACTAGCTCTTTTCCGCTTCCTCCTTTCAGCCGGGTCGGTGTTATCAGCGCGCAGCTTGCGTCGTCGCCTGGCCCGGTATCTGCGGGCCAGACTCCGAAGGGCTGACCTCTCACTAGCGGTAGGGCCCGATGTCGGGAGCTCGTTAGCCGAACGAGGCTCTTCGGTCGTACTCGATGTCGTGTTCGTTCTACAAGAAAAGTGCAATTAGATCCATCTCAAGTCTTTTGAGTTCACAGTTCTTTTTGAAATCATTGTTTACAGTGAACGGAACAAGGTAAATCGAAGCTAAAAGTACAATGATTGCATTTTACGGTAACAATGTGTTGAAATAAATATTCAAATACGGTACAACGGAATCCATTGGAGATGTAAATATAACAAATTGAAATGCACGACGTGACGGTGGCTGACTCCAAATTGCTCTATTTCGATTAGTAAAAAAACTATTTCTGAATTCGATATAACGAAAAATTATGCTTTATTGAATTCGTTTTAAATTGCAACTAGACAATAACTTTATTGGAAAATAGAGTAATGCAGTGTGGAATAGTAATTTTATATTTTGTAAGTGGTCCTAATGGAATTTGTGAAAATAAAAGGGCAAAGAGCTATCTCTAACATTTTTACAAAAGGCTATCATCTAAGCAAGTCCTAGTAACTATTTTCAAATTGATCGTTCAATGTATCGTGTGTAGTTTATATTATTTTAAATTTTATCGTGAGCTGTGTCTTGTTTCATATTATCTGATTCAACTTACATAGAGTAATACGAATAAGCCCCATCAGGTGTTGTCATGGATCCTTCAGAGTATATCCTGGGTGCTTCAGCCCTCTCAACTTCCTCTGCAATTGAAAGTGCTCTGTTCCCATCCAATACATCAATGTTGTTATGGTTCATCTTGTCAAGTTGTAGTACATCGTATCTCCGATCGTCTGTGTTGCGGTGGAATACTTCTGAGAGTTCATATTCGCGAAGCTGTTTGAGAAAAAGGATTATAGAGTGAGTAAGATCATGAAAATATATGTGAAGCCTCTTTTCTAAGGCTTTTTCCTTTACCATTGTCTAACGTTCCCTTTTATAATTAAGATAAAAAAATATTTATTTGAATTCCTTTTTTCACCATGGCGTACTTAATGCCAATGGAATTTTCTTCTAGTCCATCTAAGGGTGATTTTCATGTTGGTTGTTTTATTTTTATTTTTTTTATAATGATGAATTCAATCGATTATAATTAGCATAAGGAAAAATTTTAAATCCTTTAAAATAATCTTTAAAATTGAACTGAATTTACATGCTTACAGACTTTACTTTTTTCTTCAAATGAAATTCATATAGGAGCAACAAAATAATTCTTATTAGCGGGAATTTAACCTGCAATACGTTAGAGCTTTCTTTGTGCCTTCTACTTAGACAGTTTAAAAGATATTAGTACTCTTATTATATTAAATAATGTATACCTTTATAAACTGAAACGTGGCGATAGGCGGTAATCTTCTTAGATGTGGATAGAAGAATGAACCAGCTGGGTGTGATGGGTATTTGGACGTGATGCGGTACGCAACTCCTTGCGGAGCGGTGGGCCAATTTGGGGCAGTAAACGTAAAGCCATTGTCAGTCCCCGCGTCAAGTGGATCCACCTGATAAGAAAGAATTTGGTATTAGTGGTGTAATCATAATGATCAATTTTTTGATATTTTTAGGCAGTAGTATTATTATTGAAACTGTGCATATCTTTTCGTGAATTATCAACTGATTAATTTTATTTAGTTCATTTATTTTTATTTTCACGTTCGTATACGTCTTTGACTGAATTCCATTTTTGAATTGTAAATAATTTGAAATAGGTAATAAAATATTTATCGGTAGCATGAGGTTTCGATTTTAATTAGCTACATAATTGTATCGAGTTTCGAGTACCATTTAAAGCTTTTTAGCTAATTATTATTTTAATTGCAATTGTCATTTTATCGCACAAAATAATAATATCAGTCAGGTCAAATTTATTTAACTATCAGTTTTATTACGTAATATTTTTATACTTACCTCTATGGTGATGCTGTCCAACCAGTTCCCATCAACGCAGAGGTCAAAGCTGTCCACTCCAATGAACCAATCAGGAGACGGTATCATGCGAGCCATTACTGACACCTGCAACAAAATATTGCTGTTGAAATTACAATGACAAACAAAAAACTGGCTGAGTGTAAAACGCAACAAACGTACGCGACGAGGGGTGCCGTATTTGATTTAATATAATATCGATTAACCTCGCTAAATTTATATGAACAATGAAATGAATTTTATATGAATTTAAAATGAACAAAATAAAAACTAAAACGCTCTTTAAAAAAAAAAAACAATAAATTTTATTTCACATTAACACAAATCCCGAAAAAGGAAAGATTTATTATTGTGTTATTAAGTGTCAATGAATGAATTCAAAATTCAGCTTTAAGATAGGTTTCATACAATCTGCAATTGATTTAATTATTATACCTACCATATTCAATAGAATTTGCGTTTGTTTTTCTCTTATTCTATCATGAGCCCTCACATACCAAATGACAGTAGAGCAACCGTTAGCAGATCCATTTTATAAGATACGGAACGCTAAAAGAAATAATTGCTTGAAAAGTAGGTCATTTCGCGTCACTCTCTTAATAGGAGAGTTGAAAAAAGAAGAAAAACTTATACCTATGATATGTGTCGGTGTGATATACGATTGACGTGAAACCGTCAAATTGGAACATTTTGTTTCGATTTTACATGTGGAGCTTTTATTGAATTATGAGCACTAATTGTTTTTAAGTAAAGCAAGTAAAATGTACACAAATCTGGAATTAATTAATAAATCCAATCTTTATTTCTTTAATTTCACAATATACATAGGCATCGTAAATCTGCTTAGAAATAGGGTTAATATTTGAATAAAACCACATAAAAACTTCGTACCATATTGTATTCTTTTTGACTCTCAGTAAACAAAAAATAACTTAAACTCTCTTCAGAAAGAGTTCAAAATAATTTTAAATTTACACTCCAAAAACTGTAATTTACAATTCCAAACAAACAACACGGAAAATTGAGAACAACATAATGAAATAACAACTAGTACTCGTAATTTGGACGCGACCATTACAGCGAAGTTGTTGGTAAAAGGGCAAGTGAGCAATTAGTTCTAAGCTCAGTGAGACGTACTCTGTCAACAGGCTAACAGGCTAACAGGCTAAAAGGCGAAAAGGCTACTGTTGCTTACGCCTGGTTTGTTAAGAAATTCTTACTTAACTAGAGAATTTAACAAAACGAGAAAAGCTCTCCAACGCTAAGGAAACAGTATTGTACTTTAAAGAAATTTCAAGAAGTCGCTGAGTTGCAAAATGTGATTCAGTTTATTTTTTATTATTACTTATTGCAGGAGTTTCAATGCAGTTCTTGTTTTTGAAATGTCTTATTAATTAATGCTGAGATTTTTTTAAAGATGCGTTTCAAGAGTACACTTGTGTGTTCTCTTGTGTCGTGGGTTTACAAACATATAATTTTACATACACATTACACCCAGACCCGGAACAACAATTATTGTGGATCACACAAAGAGTTATTGCAATTTTGAATGTTAGATACCTATTATGTTTCAATTTTTTTAGACCGTATCAAAAATGATTGTAAACTTCTTATGAACGAAACATTTTTTTTAGGAATTTAAACAAGCATCACATCTTTTTGGCAAGAAATAAAATTCTAAGTATAAAATTGAGATTCCTACAGCCAAGCAAATACCTCGGTACAGACATCAGACGTTTTCAATAATAATGTTAGTTATTCAGATCATTTTATCCTATACCATTAACAGTCTAAAAATAAACACTTATTTTAGAAAACGTCTTTTCAAAGAAAAATTCTTATTAAACTAATAAGAGTTTACTTTGCAAAACCAGTTATCATTAATGGTTTGTATAAATATAAATGTATATAACTTTCGTATTATACGTAGGTACTGTAGCCAGCTAAGCAACAGCCTCAATAACTTTAGCCATTTAATCTTCCAATCGTGGTAAAATCGAGACAGAATAAAAGAACAATAGGCGCGGAAGGCGCGCCGGCGCTCGCTTGGTGTTTGATAAATTAATTGCATAATTATGTGAATTTGTAAAAAGTTAAATTTTTGCCATGCCACAAAAACCGAGTTGCTACAAGAATTAAAGATTCATTATCATCATCTCCCGATAATTGCTTACTGTTGAGCAAAAGTCTCTTCTCATATGATAAAACATTTGAGCATTAATCACCACACTTGTTCAAATCAAATCAAATCAAATCAAATCAAATCAAATCAAATCAAATCAAATCAAATCAAAATATAAAGAAATTAGACTTAGAAAAATCACATTATTACTTGCCAAGTTTTAAACCTGCAGTCCCACATATGAAAAGTGGAGATAGATCATAAGAAGGCGGTTAAGGCACCCTTTAACCAGGCCACCATGGCATAACCTCACCTGTCAGGTTAGATTACTTTAAAATTAGGACCCTTAATGAAACCTAATAACCACATAAATAAACAGGCAACACAAAAATGTACTGCAATATCATCACATGGCAGGACAGTCAAAATCAATTATTTCAATTAGACCACAGTAGGCACTTTTGAACGTCAAGCAAAAAAAAAAGAAAAAGAAAATATATTTCAAAAGGTTTAACTTAATGCGTGTCAGCCTGTCCGTCTGTCCTCTAGTGAAGCTACTTGCTCGTTTCAAAGTGTAAATTCCTATGGAGTAGAACGAGCAAGAAACTCCATGGTTACTCTTTTTCAATCAGTTCTACAATTCAATTCAATGAATTATTAAGCTCTACAGTTATTATAAATTAACTGATACAGACAGTTTTCTAGAAATTATAGGTATGTGTAGATAAAGTTAGGCTTTTCGCCTACAACTTCTCCTGATGGAATTTATATCGTTTTTTCTCAGGTAGATCTCGAACCTTTAAGAAGATCATAACGAGAGCGTGCTTATAGTAAAAGATTTCCGAAAATCGGATCAGAAAGAACTAAGAAACACGATTCTGAGTCTATTCGGGAAACGGAATAAACAATTTCCTATTTTAAGACTAGTTTCTATCGTCGAATTTATTATTTTTAACCTGGATAAAAAGTAGCATATTGTGCCGTTGCATTATTATGTATATCTCTTTATCAAAATTCACATTCGATCATAATCTTAGTGAAAGAAAACCGCCATGTGAGTGAGGTCACTGGATGCCCAATCCTCCCCCCCCCCATTAATCCTGAAATCGCCTATTCTCAAATCCCCACTACAATACTCTTTTGGTTTGGTATTACGAGTTTCCATAGGCGGTGCTGATTGCTTACCTTCAGGTAAACTCGATTTTTTTTTTCAATGTGATAGATCGTCAAACGAGCAGACGGATTACCTGATGGGATGGTAGGCAATCAGCGCCGCCCATGGACACCCGCAACGGAGGAGTTACGAGTGCGTTGCCGACCTTTTAGGGATTAGGGATTTAGGGATTGATGAGGGATTCAAGAGGGATTGGGGGAGGGGAAGGATTGGGCCTCCAGTAACCTCACTCACACGGCGAAACACAACGCTGTAGTTGTTTCACGCCGGTTTTCTGTGAGGCCGTGGTATCACTCCGGTCGAGCCGACCCTTTCGTGCCGAAGCATGGCTCTCCCACATTTAAGAAAGAAGTCGATTGTTGACTTATGACATAAAAAAGTGTAAGGAACATAGAAACTTCATCACAAACTCTCACTAAATATATAAAGGACAGCTCAAAGATTTGAGGAACGAAAATACAAAATGATACTATTCTTGTTAGACGTCAACGTTCAATAAAAATCTCTCATCGAAAATACTAACGAGGTACGGAACGAAAGTTCGAGGGAAATCAGGTCAAACTGATTTGGATCTTCGTTAATATGAAATGTTAAAAAATGTGTCTTTTAAAAATAGATAGGTATTCGATAATGATGTCGTAAAAGGTTTTGTAGGTGATTAGCGAACTACTTCGTTAGCGTAATGTCACAAGAAAAACTTTTTGAAGGCAAATGTTTCTTCGTGCCTTAAAGGCTTATTTTTAATATGGCATTAAATATTTCATTCCATAATGAATATGAGTTTGAATTTGGAATTTGAGATTTAAATTCATTTTCATGACATGATCATCATGTTAGAGCTTTATTTTAAAATCTATGGTCCCCGAAGGATGTCTTGGAGGCCTGAGTAAATAAGTTGCTTTTAGAAAGGCGTGTTCCTTCGTGGGTTGCATCATCGCTCACTGACCACCAGAATATATAACGGGCAAACGCCTGTCCTTTCCAAATATAAAAAAGACAATAAAATTTAATATAATCCTTATTAACCTAGACATAACTAGCAACCTTTTAAATGGGTTTTAAACAAATTTAAGGTAGTAAAATTACAACACAAAGTGTATTAGCGAGCAACTTCAGTAACTCCAACTAGATGCTGCAAATTATGACAACCACAGCATTATTAAAGGAAAGTTCCTTTCTTAAAGAACTTTCCTTTAATAATGCTGTGGTTCCTGAAGGAACTATAATTCAGGTTCGACACTTAAGTTGCGTTTAAATACAAAATAATATACGTAATTATCAAACCATTAGTTTTTTGCAATCGGCTAAGTTAAAAATCCAAGTCATGAAGAGTTATATTCCAATCTACAAATTAATTTATTGCAAATACTAAGCATTCATTAAGTATTTTCCTTTTCAAAAGAGGGAAATACTTAGCAATCAGGAACTGAAGGTCTTAAAACTTTATTAGTAAATTAATAACTACCTATCATTTATTAAATAATGAAATTGGTTATCCCCGATGTGGGCACAAACCTACGAAATAATTGAATTAATTATTCACGAAACAATATCATAATAAACTTAAATACCTACACGACCGGACACAAAGCCCTTCATTAATTAACACACAACAATTACCTCAAATAAATTCAATCGATAAATCGATTCCCACTCATACCGATTAACGAGTGAAGAATCGAAATTAGGCTTAACTGGCTGAACAACAAACATGATTCTCGATTCGATAAAACTCCCCTTTATTGCTGGAATCGAGTCGGTTCTTTTATTTGTCCGTATCGTAATTGGTGTTTGCTCTGGAAGCATTAATTAGTGATGAAATACGATATTTTTCGGCATTGTTTGTTGGGGAGGCTACGAGTGCAATTTCACTAGTACAAATAGCTTTGCCCTGTAAAAAATATTGTAGGGTGTTCCTTGGGTGACAAACTTTACATCGTGGGGTCATTTTGTTTGCTCCGTGAATGCTCCGCTGTCGAGTTTTGTTTCTGTTTTATTAGTGAAACCAAAAAAAGTTTTATTCTTTGAATTCGAACGTAAATGTATTAGGTATAAGTTAGTATATTCAATGACAGAGTATGTATTTCGTCATACTACGAATTTAGTTTAGGGCTGATTTTTCAATGGTAAGATAACAGTTGTTAGGGGAATAATTATGATGCTGTCGCGTCAGATCGTTTGTTTAAGACAGTGACAGCAACAATTTTATGCCTCAGATAACATTTATCTAACTATTAAAAAATTAGCCCTTGATCAGTTAAGCATACTGTCTTTGCTATATCACCGCACTGCTATGCCAGTAATTACTTAACCAGTTGTAAAACGCGGCATTAAAAAATGAAATAAATATCATTAAAAAACTCCAATGTCTGGCGGTACGAAACGAGAATGTAACAGCGGCCTTATCACAAAATTGCGCTGTCCATTGACGATTTTAATTGCAAAATTATTGGAGCTTCATCTTTATTGCATTCGATTACGACTGCATTCGTTCCACGGAAATAATGATACTAATAAAATCAGACAATTTGCTGTGATTCGCTTATATCTGTGCGTCAAATTGTTTCGATAACCGAATATTTAATTGGTTTGCGGTATAAATATGAAATTTAAAACGTTGTAAGGCTTAATGATGCCTTTATTGCTGTATACGTTCGGGAAATTTTCATTTTGATACCAATATTGTTGGGATCGAATGTGGTATAAGATTTTAACGACAGTTACCTGGATAACGTTCCATTATTTGAATATTGATGTTCCAATTTTGAATACGATTACACATCAACCTACTTTGTTTTACTTTCTCATATAGACCTTATTATAGAACAATAAAATTGAAAATTTATTAAAGAAATCTCTCAGAATAGTGTACGTTGACATGCTGGTGTCTAAGTATATTTAAATACATGAGCATTCGAAATGATTCGGGTTTGAGGGAAAGCTAAAAGGAACATGATGTATGGATTTAGTTTGGACGAATTCACCCTTAGGGAAATAGAGAATTGAAATAGTAAATTTTATATAGGCGTTTTCCTGTTATAACTAAAGTGCTGCAAAAATATTTCCGTAAGTATGCTATATAATATACTACTGATATTCATATCCACATACGGCTTATTTTGTGTTACTGCATTTGAATAAATATGTACCATTCACCAGAGATTTCCGAAAATGAAATCTAGCTACAGGTATGACATGTGTTATGGATTCTATGATACTAATATATTTTTGTAATTTTTTTATATATAAAAGAAGTACGAATGAAAAAAAAACTAGTCACTAGCTTCAATTGAACCAAAATAAGTTTCTTTGCGACGACTCCTTAATCGGCAGTAAGTAAATAGCAACACAATTTTTTAATACTGATGTCGTAAGAATTTACGATATACTTTTCTTTCCTTAACTTTTTTAAAAAAAAACATTGCCTTGCACTCGTATTTTCTCCTGCGTCGTAGGTGCGGTGACAGACAATTCGTAGATTACATAGAGAGTGGTTCCGTGCGGGCATCGAACCCGCAACACATTGCACGGCAGCCAGTTGCCCAGCCACCGTACCAACCGTGTTGTCAAATTCTCACAGAGACAATTAAAATAGGTACTTCGTTATAAGTCACTTACCCTAGAATGATTTCCATCGACAAAGAACTCAGCTTCAGTCCTGCCAGCCCCCTGTCCAACAGCAGGTGCGCCAAACACGTCGAGAGTTCCCGGAGCCGACCCCAACGCGTCGGATCGACCCAACTCAGCGAACTGTCGAACTGGGGCCGACACTCGCTTCCCCAGTTGGAATAACGTGTATGATCTGTCGTGTGATACACCTGGGAACAATACAAAGAAAACTTATTTAACTATGAGGTTTAAGAATATGTTTTTTTATTATGGGCTAGGCTGATCACTTGATGGGAAGCAGTTGGTGCCGCCCATGGACATCTGGAACTCTAGTGAAGTTGTAAGCGCAACCTCATTTATGAGCAGACGGATTACCTGATGGTAAGCAATCAGCGACATGGATACACACAACATCAGAGTAGTTACACATTTGTAAACTATAAGAATGAGATCTAACTCTGATAGAGCCGGCCTATTTGTCCGAAAGCACGGCTTTCCTTAACAACTAAGTTGTTGTGACTGTTGTCAATGCTTACAAACTATTTCTATGGGCTAATGATGGCCAATCCAACTACTGAGGAAGGGTTGAAGAAAATTTTGAGGTCGCTTTTTGGGTTATGCTTAACGCTAATGTTACTTTTTATGGGTTATTTACTATGACTATATGATGTATGGAATTTTAACCAGTTATGGATATGGAGCTATAGCATAACTATTCACAAGAAAAATGCTCAAGCGTATGTTGTTGCAAACTTACAAGTTACACGGCTAAGGAAAAGAAAGGAAAGCTAGGAATAGCTCCCGAGCTTATAGTCAGTGTTATCACAAAAAATATGTATTACATTTTACCTACATATTTATTGCTTAATATGTACTTCTGAAACTCTTTTCGGGTTTGAAAAGGTAATAGGTTTTATTATGTTATATTTCTATTAATATAAATATTACTTTCAAAAGTTCACCTTGACAAAATGTAACAATCTCATTCTAAGTAACCTTAGCTACACCTACATACGTTCAGCTGTGTTTTATGTGAAGGCAACATGAATGAATATGTCTCCCACGCAAGTAGAAAATGTTTTTGTAAACGAAGTTGTACAAAATACATATTATTCGCAAAATCCGCTGAATGACGGGGTCAAACAATAAGAAAATTATAAATAGAGTATTGTACGTAGAATTTATATTGAATTTCCAATAATAACTTATTTTATGTGGTCCGAAAACGTATTGTAGATGCGAAAGTTTGTATAAGTACCAAACGTAGATTTTTTTATTCAATAGTGCCAAAGTCATTTATTTTAATGCTATAAATAGTCAGCTTGGATTACCTCAAACATAATCTATATTCAAAAAATATATAATCATTATAATTACATTTGTCATCTCACTAAGCTACTAAAAGATCGAGAGACGATCTCCGGCCACTATTTGATGGTTTTCCCCTGACAAAAAAAGGCTACTATAAGATTATTTTACCTAAAAAGTTATAAAAACCGCCATCTTGTCACTACTGCATACTGTCTAAAGGAACTTGGAGGAGCCACTCCATGAATTTTACCTTCTAACCACAAAATCTATGCAATTACGGGTTCTATCTAATTCTCAGAACATGAATCCAGAATTCTGCCATCCAACCAGTAATAGCAAGCAAAGATTGTGTGGTTCCTAGAACAAAATAAATCGAGACAAGATAACATTTACTAAACCATTAAACGTAAATAAAATATGTATAACATTATCTACGTAGTACCTACCAATCGCCTTTATTTTACAACAAAAAGGTGAACTTTTATCAAATTTTAGATAAACTCAAAAAAGGTTATAAGGAAGAGGTAATAAATTACTTTGTAAACAGCTTCTTGTAAAAATATTCAACAGTACTCGTTCATGAATCTTAGTAAAGAACTCGTTACATTTTTAGGGTATCACCATTCAAGTTTTTAAACTGATTGTAAAAGGCTTCTGTTGTTTATTTATATAGAATGTTACTCGAGAATTGTGTACGGGTTCCGTTTATAAGTAATTAGAAATTGATATCAATTTGCAGCCTAAAATAATTATGAATGATATAAAGTTTATAAAGTTTTAAATAACCTTCCTTTTGAAAACCAAGAGTTATTTTTAAATATCAGCATTATTAAAAATGTTTACAATGTTTACCTTCACTGGTGTCAGCGGTGTCTAAATAGTCATAGAAAGTACATATAACTCAGAAAAAGACACATTGGTACTTGCCAGGTATCGAACCTACACCCTCATGCATGAGAAGGGGCTCCTTAACCTCCGGGCCACCAGGACCACTATTATTATATTTTGACTATTTAACACACAAATACATGCAATTCCTAAAAAGTAAGAAAGTAACAATGAAAAAACATTTGCTGAAATACGATGAGATGTTTAAATATCTAGTATCTATCTATACAAAACAAAAACTTAATCGCTTTTAAGACAGAAATATTTTTTGTGATACAATCAATCCATTAATTACCTTAAATCCGAATCACCCACAGAAGAGACACGAAACAAAATTAAAAATAAAATTGCAATAAACAATACTGAGTCATTGTCCGTCCGCAAAAAAATACAAAAAGGCGACAACCTCCTAACCTAATAAACATTTTCTTTGAAATGTTAAAGTAGGCTAGTTGTATCAAGATCGATATTTCTGTGAAGCAGTGGTAAGAGTTAAGATGTTGTAGATCTGGGTTGTGGCCAGCCTAGAGCGGAAGAAAAAAATAGTGACACTCCCAGAAGACATATCATGGTTACTTCTCCTCAAAAAAGACAAAGTAGTGATTCACTACTTCACACGTATAAGAAGAGAAGAGAGTGACAAGAAAAATTGTAGAAGGGAAATATTCTTTTTGTGAATCATTTCTACAATCAGGATTGAGTTGCACTGGTATTAAAATGTCTTCGTAACTGTCGTGGGTCCGGTTTTTAGATTACATAAAATCATTGTTGTTGCTTAGTACGAATGTGAACGTGTGCAGTACAGTGAAAATTATACTTTGCTTTTCTTTAATTAAAGATGGATTATCCGATAAATAATGAATAAATAAACATTATTTATTTCGGGGCAAATGAATAAAATTGTTTTATCTGGACATTGCAATTTGCTTGCAGCGTAAATGAAAAATATTGATAAATATTTTTGGCAAAACAATGTAGTGCCAAAAATAAATACACCTTTAAAAACAAATTAAATCATGCATGAAAAGGATTATGCTTGAATTGAGGTGAAAAGCTGATTTGTTCGGTAAAAGATTTACTGTACTATACAACATATTTCGGGGCTCTCGGTCGGGAACGGACGGTCGGTTGAGTAAATTGGGCCAGTATTTTATATCTTTTTATTACGAACTCTACACGAAATAGGACGGTTCGGATGTCCAAACATCGGAAATAATAAAATTATTGTGTTGTGTAAAAACACTTTTACTTTAATAATGGTATCACTCATTATTCGGAGTTCTGTATGTAATTCGCAGTACAATCTATCGGTTAAGGTAACTAAATGTAAACAATCTTGTATAAATAAAAACTACTTTGATATATTAATTGACCATAGAACAGTGATTTGCAATGACAAATATTCTGCTTCTCGACGATGGAATGATAACTAGAACGATTATCGTGAACGCCACGCTTAAGAGGTTGGTCGGAGACCGCAACTGAAGAAGTTCAATTCTGAAAGAAAGTGCTAGGTACTAATTACTCTCGGTCAATTTCTCGTATTTAGATAGTATTGTACCGCGGAAATATATGAATCACTGATTCTCATACAAGTGTTTTGCAAATATTCCTTTAAATCGTTTAATGCCAGAAATTAATTTCCATCCAAAGATTTAGGTCACGCGACTAAGCAGGTACAGGTATAGGATAAGTTTATAAACAGTAGCGTCTGGCACAATCTTTCGCCACACGCCAGTATGGAAAGAGTCAGTTTGTCATTTTTTATTTTGAAGGAATCAAAATCTTTGAAAAGACCTGCCATGTCAAAATGATTAGGAAAATAAATTAAGACATTAAAATCCCACGGAACCAAGCGTAATAGCGTAAGAGTGATTCATACAAATGTTATCGAGTATACTAGCGGTACTTGCCAACTGGCACGATCGCAACATTTGATGAACTCTGCAATACATAACAGCATGTACTCGCAGTGTCTTCGAGTTGGGAGACAGGTGTATTCTGGGATATTGAGACTTAGTCAGCGAAGTATTTCTGGGTCTACGGGTTTTTACAGCTGACTAGACAGCTTTTTAATGGGGAATATCTTCAAATTACTCTTCTTGCTTTGGATGGGGCGAAAGGAAATCTCTTACTAAACAAAAAACCCCCGTTCCTTTTTCTGCTACAGGCCGAGGCCGCAGTACCTACAATCACTAGTACCAATGTGACTTTTTCATTCCTCTGGCATACATACGGTGAAGGAAAATCTCGTGCGGAAAGCTTTATTTTTTTGTCAGGGGAAGATCATCAAATGACCTCTTCCGTCCAGGGTAAGGCGAGAGAGAGTTTCAGACTCTTACTGATTAAAACCCCCCTATCCTTCACCTTCTCTGGGCCTTATTGCGCTTAATCCGCAATCCCGGCTGAACATCAGCCCTATAAGGCCCCGTCTGTTCCGGAACAGGTCTCATGTAGACGACCCGGTGCCCCTTACAGGTGATGAGGGTGGCCACCGGGGTGGTTTTAGTGAGGTAAAAATCCCACACTCTCTAGTCTTTCTCCCCAAAAAGCTAGACGTATTTTGAAGGTTTCCCCACGTTACAAAAAAAGGGCCCCATCTGTGGTGGTCTATTGGCTCTTTGAAGCGCGCGCGGAACGCTACGCGCCGTCCGCAGACCCACGCTAAGGGTGGCCGGAGATCGTCTCTCGATCCCCGACACCCGGAATGTTGTATAATGCGGCGGCTGGGGCGTGAGAAGGATAGTTACCTCACGTGCTCCGCCTCCTCCTTTGCGAGTATCACTGCTTCGCAGAAAGAGGAGACAGCTTCCCAGCTCGTGAGGAAATCTGAACTTTTAATTTATAATTATAAATTTGAAATCGCCAATTCGCCTTGAGCAAGGTGGTGGTTAATGCTAAACCGTTTTCGTGTAAGAAGAGGCCTTTACTCAACCATGGGCACTAATAGTTATAGTTTAATGAAGTTATTATCAATTTGGCAACTCACCATACACTACATACATACAAT